GTCCCCCATGTCAAAAAAAGTCCGGTGTAGGTAGGGTTAATCTCGATGCAGAAACAGACAGCGCATATGCAGCGTCAATCATTTATAACGTTATATTCAGAAAGCCATAGAGTGTCCAAGGGTGATACATACACTCACAGACAGCCCTGTTTAAACCTATAGCGAAACAGACAATCGTTGAGAGGCGCTAAAGTGCCCAGCCCGGCCCGTGACTGGTCCATGGGAGGGGTCTCCATGTCAATTAATTCCATGTCGAAGTAGCAGACCGCGATGGTGACGAGCTGTTTGATCTCGTTCAGCGCGAAGAACCTTCCGGGACACATGCTAACGCCATGGCCGAACGGAAGCAGGTAGTGACGTAACTTCCGGCCGTTCTTGTAGAACGCGGTCTTCTCCTGGCCGTCTTCCAAGAAACGGTCGTACTTGAAAGTCTGAAACAAATGTTAAAGAACCCATCACATCTTTCGAAAAGAGTAGGCGTCAGTTGTACCCAAAATTGGTCTAACTTGAAGAGAGAATTCTTGATTAAAGAAAAAGAACCCACCACACTTATAAAAAAAAGTATAAGTCTGCTGTATCTGTATCCAGAACCGTGCTTTATCAAGAACCGTGCTTTATCCAGAAAAGTGCACGTGCTCTATCCGGAACCATGTTTTACGTGATTCTTCCAGACCCGGTTCTGGATAGCCCACGCGTATCCAGACCTGTGCCTGGGGCAAATCTACGCTCTCCCACTATCCAGAACCGTGCCTGTTGCTATCCCAAACCCATGCGGGAATAGAAGTAGATCCATCCCGGTATAAGTGGTTCAAAACTTATCCACGTGTATCCAGAACTGTGCCTGGGGCAAGTCCTGGATACACGGAGACTAGTTCAGACAGTCAGCGGTTTGGAGAACTAGCACAAAACATGCCATGCACGACACAGTGCTCATTAGGTGATACCTGGTGCGATCGTTAGCTGATCATTAATTAGTTGATTACTAATTATTAGTAGCTAGCGCCGGTCATTTGGTGATCGCCTACTTTCAGCCATGTAATGTGAGATAGGGTTAGAATCACCTTCACCAACTATTGCTCTGTTTATTCTTAATCAAACACATTCACATATATGTTTGTCACATATCTGCCCTGCCACTTGCTACATAATGTGCTACAGCATCAGTTACCATGGTGACAGACTGGCAGCCGTCTGGTCTTGGTCACTGTTCTTTTATTTGCAGAAGAAAAGGGAAAAAAAGTCCTAAAACAATTTTTTTTTGCGAATTTTTTGCAAAGGTATATATTTACATGATAAAGGGAGATAAGAAAGATACCTCAGGATCATCGTAGACTTCGGGATCCATATGCAGAAAGCCCGGATATAGACCCACCATGTCCCCCTTGCGGATGCGGAAGGTACTGCCGGACTCCAGGGCCAGCTCGGCATCTTCGGTGGCCACGCGGATTATGATCGAGGCACTGCACATGCGCAATGCCTCGTTGATAGAACTACCTGTATCGATATTGAATTTAAACCACAGTATTTCTTCTCGATTCAACGGGCATTGAAGTATTTTGGGTTTTCGTGTATCTATTTCTTTTATTCAATTCTTTATTAAGATACCAAAACATAACAGACAAACATGACATACAATGTTGCCTGAATGGCGTTGATATTTACAAGATAAAATGTCAAAAAATTATATATTTACAACAACTATGAAAACAGTACAGTAGGTGTACAACCCAGATATCCACAAGGTCCATTATCTTGTGCCAGACTCTATCTGTACAGTCTGGATATAGAGTCTGATTGACTGGTGGAGGAAAGAGTTCTGTAGTCTTTTTGTTCTGGCGGGTGGATAGAGATAGTGTTTTTGTTCCTGAGTGAACGACTGGTAGCTGTATATCTGGAGAGAGGGACAAGGTCATGTAGGGGACGAAAGAAATAAAATTTGTACAACGAAGAAAAAGCATTTGTACGGCGGACACATTAATATGTATCGCCTGGTGAAATACGTACATAAATACAAACAAATGAGAAGATTGTATGATCGTACTTTGTTAGAAAATAGGACAGAAACGGTGCAGGCTCTTCAGGCTCACAAAACAGTGGAAAGTGGCTAAATAGACTGAAAAGTATGACAGAGGAGTTAGCCTATGTTGCAAATGTTACCCCCCCCCCCCTCCACCGCCCGGTCGGCTAACTTTTCTGGTATACTATTCAGTCTACAGTTTATTTGCCCAGTGTCTACTATTTTTAAGTTGAACAGCCTAGTAGGTGGCCTGAGTGTCATCCTCGGTAGTTTTCGCTCGCTTTCTAATGTCACGGTAGCCAGCGACATTAGGGAGCGGGCGAAAACTACGGAGGATGGCACCCAGGCTACCTAGTAGAGGCTAATTATTTAGCAATCTACGCACCGAGGCATTTCATGTCGTTCAACTGCTGCCTCGTCACGTGGATCATCTCGCCTCCCGCCTTCACGTTCTCCAAGGTCTGACCGGTCTCCTTCAGAAGCTGGAGAGAACAGACAAAAAAAAAAACATAACCTTCTTTGTGAAGGTAAAAAGTGAAAGTGATCTCGAGCCAGTTTAACCCTCAACAGAACACCTTCCCGGACTGATCATTCTGTACACCTGGGGTCCGTGCGGACCCCAGAACAGTTCTTGCTCAATTGTTTTGCAAACTGATGTGGGAACCTCTGTGTCCACATTACATACAAAAATCATACATTTTGAACTTTTTCTATTTTTTGGTGAAGAAAAGAAGGCAATAAGAAATACCCGATTTTTAAACCCATTTCAGACTGAAGGGGCTTTTGAGGCCCAACTTTGATCTCAGATAGCGGCTAAACGGCTTGCGCTAGAAGTATCAAATTTGGAGACCTTTCCTAAAATGTCTTTGGAAAAAAGTTCATATTAGTTCAATACTAGTAAGTTGATGTTTTTTTGTGTTGCCATGGCAACGGGTTTCTAGCAGGCAGTTTTTTT